ACCTAGACGGATTGTAGACCAACCTAGACGGAAATTTCCGTCTAGGTTGGTCGTTTTTCTACTAGTGAGGGCCAGCAGTCACAGGTCATCTTCACGCTTTTGAGATCATAACAATAGAGAACCTGGCGGTTGAACCACACATCCAGTTCCAACATATACAATAGAGAACCTGGTGGTTGAACCACACATCCAGTTCCAACATATACTGGATCCCGTCTAAACCTTTCATGCTGATCTAAACACAATAAAATTACATGGATTTTGTCACTTGTTAGTATGCATAGTAGAGTCTCAAAGTCTGTAGTATTGAGTTAAAAGCTTTATAATGTTTAGTTAACAAGTTCTTGAGTTTTATTAGCTCACATCAAAGCACAGCACCTGCAATCATGAATCTAAATATAAAAGGTCAGAAACATGTGGACAACTTAGTAGTTAGTACAATCCAAATAAGCAAATTCTCATACTGTAAGGCGCACCAATGCATTCATGGCTGCAGCTTTCTTGTGGTTCTGATATGCAGGTCGCTTCTGTCGAGAGACACACGCAAGCCTAGCTAGTTCTTTGCCTTCAACATCAAGTGCACCTGCACTCTCTAAGTATACGTGTAAGATATTTGAGATATTTTAGAATATCGTATCTGTTTAATAATTTATATTTCTTCAACCAAAATGATTACAATCTGAGTATGTGAATTAGAATGAACTTTTTATTTTAGTTAACAAGAACAGCTACATGAGAGGGTTTGATCTCAATTTAAATGAGATAGAGGAAGGACTAGAGGGGTCTAAGGAGTTGTTAACAGAAAAGATGTATAATAACAACAAATATACAAATGAAAACATATAAACAACTGCAGATCCAATAATAAAAAGAAGAGCAATGAAAAAAAACAAATATACAAATGAAAACATATAAACAACTGCAGATCCAATAATAAAAAGAAGAGCAATGAAAAAAAAATGAATAAAGGGAAAAGTTGAGCTGAAGGCACAGACACTACCAATACCTGAAAACTGAAGTAGCAAAAAGTCTAGTCGTATCTCGGACTCATCCTGTCATTATATACTGCAAACTTACCATCACAATTAATCATGCAAGTGCAAAGGACCCACTCAAATCAGAAGAGACAAAAGAATCAAGACAGTTTATATAGAAGCACTCACCCGGTTAATAAGCAGATACAACTCACCACTGACCATATGACAAACTCAGGGGCCACCAAGCTGAAAGGTTAATGATGCAATAAGTAGAATATAATGTTGAAAACCCCAACAAATGCCCCATTATCAAAACAGATATGAAAACTTATTATCAAAACAGATATGAAAACTTACATATTTACCCTATCTCAACATTGAACAATCATTGCATCTCTGTCCACTCAATTTAGCTTTCTTCCTGCCATAATTATGCTCCCTTTCTCTATCTTATCTCAGAGGAGGAGTACTCTGCCGAAATGAAAGTACAGGCTACCTCCTATTGCCATCAGCAGCACTAGTTGGAGCTCGGCCACAACTATGACAAGAAGCACCAACATTGCAACACTCTTCGAAGATTGCGGTATTCTTTGATGCAAGCTAATAAAACACAAAAACCTGTCAGCTTAATACGACAAACTTTAACACACTTCTATTGAGAAATTAATCATTTCTAACTGATAAATGCAGCAGTTAAAGAATAAGTTAGCTTTTTTCAGATTATATGCAGTATGCTCTCAAAATGGAGAAAAAATGCAGCAGTTAAAGAATAAGTTAGCTTTTTTCAGATTATATGCAGTATGCTCTCAAAATGGAGAAAACCCTTGTGATTTATGTACTTAGATAGACAGGAGAGGTCTAGATGAGATACAATAACCGGTGTAGTAGGTGTGGTTAAGCCTCCAGCCCATCTATGGCTATATCCTCCTAAGGCTCAAAAGTGCATGAATATAGCATGTTCTGGTCCCTCTTGAAGCTGCAGCTGTTAAGATAGCTAGAGGAAACCAAAGGCAAAGAAGGAAGACAGAGAAAAAAAAGGACCCAAAGGGTTTTGAAAGAAGAAAAAGAATGTGGAGGTTAATGACAAGAGCTACACAAAGAAAGATAGATAGGTCATAGCTGCAGAAGGGTAAGTGGTTTGTTTGCTTGGTTCAGGTTGCTTGATTTGCCTCTGAAGAAAATAATATGTTCAGAGTCAGGTCATGCTCTCTTCTTCAGTGGTTGTTTTCCTTAGCCGCTTAAGATGCAGCTTCTCTTGCTCCATGACAATGGTATATCCTGCAGACAAGATAATCATCCAACTGCATTCAACATGTACAGAGGTTAAAAGATTTGCAAGAAAGCTAAAGATACACAGACACAGAAGGTAGCTCCTAACAACATTGTTCCTCCAGAATCTTATTCTGTGGGCACAGAAGCTGCAGATGACGGTGCATCGGTTCTCCTGTTTGATATCATCTCGCAGAGTTTACAAGAAGGTGGGTGCCATCTACAAGTATAACATTGACACAAGGGCCACGAAGGTGAGGTCCTTGTACTACAGATTCTTCTATGCGCAGTTGCTTTCGATGGCGATCTAAATTGATAGCATCAAAACTTACCTATAGAGAAAGTATGAAGAGTTCAAGGTGAGGATCCGATCAATGCATTGGTCATGCATTCTTTATACACATGGGTGCAAATTAGTTGTGTAATATAGGTGGGCAGACAAGTAGTGAGAAGCGAATCTTGTTTCCCATGCTGTGCTAATTCCATATACTTGGATTAGGAACAAATACTTACAACTAGATATGGACCGAGGCTTCAGAAATATCCCTAACATCTTGCAGATACATTTGGGGAGCGCAGGCACACTCGATGTTGAAGGCAAAGGACTTCAACATCTTGGCAGGTCTATGCATGTCTCTCAAGAGACGCAACCTGGAAACCAACACCATGAGAAAGCTCATTCATATATATACACACACACACACACACACACACACACACACACACTTAAGTTATACTACATAGTCTATATGTTTCTCACCTATTATCTTTAGGATCTACAACTGATGCAGGTTTTAATCTCTACAGTGCTCATCAAAGCACCATCATGTTGAATCAAGAAGGTGATCACCACGTGTTTCCTGATGGACCCTCAGTTCGAAAGAAGCTTTTTGGTGTCCAGTTACCACAAAGATTTGATGAAATTCATCAAAAAGATCAATAAACAAGATAGTCTTCTTTGATGCAAGCTAATTAAACACAAGAGCCTGTTAATAAACATACAATAAGAATATAATTATATTGTCTCCTGTTTCCATTTCATGCTAGGATCAAGCAATCATTTTGATAGCAGGGAATAAAACTTAATAGTAACATGCATGAAGGGTTCAGAAATATACCAAACAGTCTTCGGTAGATTGGGAGACTGCAGATGCACTTGTTTTTGGAGGCAAAAAACTACCGCAGCTGGTGTTTAGCACTGAAACAATGTCCTGAGGCACTTCTTAACTTTGGTTGATAAATATTCTGGAAAAATGGTGTTCAGCCACTTCTTAACTCTGGTTGATCAATGTCCTGAGGTACGGGCTAGATTCAGTTAATTTGGTTGTGTTACACTGAAGTAATGGTATTTAGCACCTCTTAACTTCGGTTGATCAATGTCCTGAAAAAATGGTATTCAGCCACTTCTAAAATTCAGTTGATCAATGTCTTGAGGTACAGACTAGATTCAGTTAACTTGGTTGTGTATCACTGAAGTAATGGTATTTAGCACATGCCATTGTTATCAACGTGTGAGGCACAAGGCGGGGCGCAAAGCCCCTTTCCGCGCGCACATGTGGAAGACACAATGCGGTACATGTGCCCGAGTGAAGTGAGGCACACACCACACATAACTTTTCAAGATAGACAATCAAGAACAAAAAAGCATGTTTATGAATTTTCACATAAAAATGTCAAGATAAATAATATCTACTACCAAATAACAAAATAAGGTCTTAATTCCTGATGCTAAAACATCCAACATAGTAGCAAAGTTCATAGTTTTCCAAATCAAAAGTCAAATCAAGACTAACATCGAAGCAGAATCAAATAGTAAAAGAAGATTAGTTAGGGTCCTCAACCAGGCTACTAAAAAGGCCTAGTTGTTTTATTTTGATCTGTAGGATATGGGTTATCGAGTATAAGACATGAATGAATGTTAAAGTCTAAAAATATATGAGTCTATGTCTTGCATGCAACCTATCTGCAAAGCACAGGGTACTTGCAAGGCACAAAAGGTGCCACATTGGATGTGGGGCGCTTTGCCACCGCCCCGCACCATAGGGCACCTTTGATCACAGGCACATACACACTATTCTCAGCTAATTTTGTCCAATATTTAGCCAAAGCAGATCGAGACCTCATCTTGACTGGTTGTCTGCTTAATATTTGACTTGATGGGTTCACATTGTTATCAAGTTATTACTCATCATTATTTCCTATAGTATACAAGTTGATCATAAGTACTATTCTAAAATCTAAATCTGAGACCCATAGTTTTATCTAAACACCTAATACTATGGCGCGAACTCTGCAACTGAGACCTAGGTTTCTTTACGGTCACCCAAGATCCGAAGCGGAATAAATTAGATGGGACAGTGATGATACACGCACGACATGCCAGGTCTGGGCACGTCATTCACATAACAAGATCATAAACATACAGACATAGCTTGCTGAAAAACCTAAAAATATGAAGTCTGGGAGCAATATTACTAGATAATATGAGTCATCTAAGAGCGTAATATTACTAGATAATATTACTAGACATAGCTTGCTGAAAAACCTAAAAATATGAAATTTGGGAGCAATTTTACTAGATAATATGAATAATCTAAGAGCATAATGCATTAGTTCATGTACAAACTTGTTCCTCTCTTAGGCTATTAGCAATCTATACAATTTGCACTCTAGAATGTAGCACCTCCAACGTATGCTTTGGTGTCTCTCTGAGGTCACAAGCTCAAAATGTTGCAAGCTAATCAGTATCTGAAAAGGCTGAAAATCATGAGGTACAAGGTAACCTACATATACTCAATAAATGCAGCTCTTACCAGTTAACTAGAGAAGTTTTGTGACACGAACTATTAATTTTACAGAAACTTTAAGGATAAATTAGTAATATACCAAAGATGTAAATGCAAGCACTTTGCATGCTAGGCACAAAACAATTCACTATTATGTAGCTTAGAATTGCAAGAAAACTAATTCACACGTCTAGTGGAATCATTTATAAATTACAGGTCGTGAAATCTCTGCATTATTCCCAATATACTTTAAATTTTACCTTCAGACCTGCTCCCAGCAAGACTGAGGCATGCAAGCCCCTATGGCGAAAAGTCCTGATTCCTTGAAGCAAGACTAATTCATATTGCATCATCATAGTCCTCAGGCTTATGATCATCATAATCCCCTTGGGCTCACCTTAGTTATCTGTTAGAATTAATATAAAACTACAATCCACGATCCTCACCAATAATTTCGGAGTTTTTGGTGTAATGGTTAAGGGGACTAACTTTAAGAGATACATTATCTGAGACTACAGATAGTTTGCCAGGGGAGAACTTTTAAAATAACATCATCTCGACTGGCCAAAAAGAGGTCGATTTTGCAAAATGTCGACTTTACAATATACGGGATTAGAAGTCTCATGTAATTAGTGGTCGCTAATTATAGTTATAGCTGAAATGGTTGTCCCGTGTACTTTGTGCTAAAAATGGTTAAGGTTTAACTCACGAGTCACGAGAACTAATTATACGGGACTATTAGTCCCGTGTAATTTAAGTTGATATTTTGCGGGAAAATTTGCAAAATAGTCCGTTTTTGCTAAATATTTAGCAAAATCGACCATTTTGCTAAATATTTAGCAAAATCGACCTCTTTTTGGCCAACAAGACAAAAAGTTGGCCAAAAAGAGGTTGATTTTAAAAAACGCCCATCAGAAAACATACGGGACTAGTAGTCCCGTATGTTTTCAAAGCACTAATCACTCATTAGTGCTCACAGAAAATATACAGGACTACTAGTCCCGTATATTTTCACGTTTCTTATCTCCTTTGATTTGCCTCTACTTTGCTTATTTTAGAAAAAGACGATTCCTTTGTCTGATTTTATTTAAAAAAAACAATTTTCTAGAGTTTTCTTTTCTTCTCCTTCTTCTATTTACTTCGAGAGACAACCCAATAGGTTTTTGTGGAGGCTCTCATTCTTTGCTTTCCAAAAATCTACAGGTCGAAATTTGACTTAGCTTTTTCCTGATCACGCTTTTGATGTTGTGATTAAGACATTTTTGTTGAGTTTTGTTTCTTGGCTCAATCTAACTAACCTGTTAATTCGAAATTGGGGGGATCTTCCGATGGTTGCTGATGGTGGGGAAAAGATGGAAGGAGTTGCCTTAAATGGATGGAAGGATCTTCCGATGGAGCTCCTACTGAGGATCGTTTCCCTCGGCGATGATCGAACGGTCATTGTCGTGTCAGGGGTCTTCCGATGGAGTACAATTTCAGATAATGCTCCTAAATTTTAGAGAGAACTTTGTGGGTTTCACAAAACAGTCTGAGCCAGTGTTATCGAGGCGCAAGGCGCAATGCTGAGCGCAAAGGTCCCTTACGCGCACCATGCGTAAGGCGCACAACAAGGCGCGCGCCTCACTAACTGAGGCGCATAACTCAAATTAATATTTACCAACATCATAAGACAGAAACATATAAGCAACATATTAGTTACCTACATCCAAAATTATGAGAATATCAACTTAAATCATCAATTATGCTAACTGAATTTTTAAAGTAACAAAAAAGATACAAGAAACATGTATTTAAATCATCAAATTAAGTGATTAACAATTATGAGCATATGTTTATAAATTGTCACATAAAAAGACTAAGAAATATAATTAACAAACATGACTGTTTATAATTTTCTAGTTAGTATTCTTAATTGATATTTGCTACTTAGCTTGAAAAGATGAAGAATGAATGTAATAATTACATATTTACATGTTCATAATTTGCTATTAGCATGCTAATTAGAGAAAGAAGTTACAATTAGCAAACAAGTATACTAAATTACTAATTATTGTGTTCTTTTTATAGGTTAAACATGAAAAGATGAAAATAGATTAGCAACTAGTAAGAAAGAGTATATTACATGATATAAATATGTAATTATGTAAATTATTTAAAAAAAATAGAAGAAAGAGTATGTTACATAACACAGGCGCGAGGCGCACGTGAGGCGCGCGAGGCGCATGCAAGGTGCACGCGAGGCGCGCGCCTCGCTGTGTGCAGCGCCCCGCCTCGCGTGCGGGGCGCATTTCGCCCAGGCTGAAGCGCCCCGCGCCCGGGGCGCGCCCGGGGCGCGCGCCTCAATAACACTGGTCTGAGCTAGGATAGTGTCGCCTGAACGTGAAAATATACGGGACTAGTAGTCCCGTATATTTTCTGTGAGTACTAATGAGTGATTAGTACTAATGAGTGATGGGCGTTTTTTAAAATCGACCTCTTTTTGGCCTGTTGGCCAAAAAGAGGTCGATTTTGCTAAATATTTAGCAAAATGGTCAATTTTACTAAATATTTAGCAAAAACGGTCTATTTTGCAAATTTCCCCATATTTTGCTAAATCGACCTTTTTTGGCCGGCTGGCCAAAAAGAGGTCGATTTTGCTAATATTTTCAAGAAATGATTGATTTTGCTAATTATTTTTTAAAAAGGGTCTTTTTTAAAAAAATCTCCTTTGCAAGGAGGTGGGTGGCTTCTGCAGGAAGTATAACATCGAGCCGAGGGCTCCAGAGTTTTATTTCTAGCAGAAGATTGATTACTTGAAGGGTAAGGTGCGGCCTAGTTCAAGAAGAGGAGGCAATCAAGTATTAGAAGTAGTTAAAGTTTAATTAGGATCTATATTAAGTGCATAAAATTGACTGGAAGGGGATATAGGTGCATTCTTTATACAAATGAGAGCAAATTAGTAAGATATGAATCATACAAGACTATACAATCTTCATATCAATAGCAATGAGTATATACATTACCTGGATTATCCAATTGATCCTAACTTCGTAAGTTGATCCTAGGAATACTTTTTGTCATCTTCATTCTATGTGTTCCTCTTTGCCTAAAATTTCCTTGAACCACCACAATAGCAGCAGCAGCAAGAGGGCCAGCAGTCACAGGTCATCTTCATGCTTTTGAGATCATAACAATAGAGAACCTGGCGGTTGAACCACACATCCAGTTCCAACATATACAATAGAGAACCTGGTGGTTGAACCACACATCCAGTTCCAACATATACTGGATCCCGTCTAAACCTTTCATGCTGATCTAAACACAATAAAATTACATGGATTTTGTCACTTGTTAGTATGCATAGTAGAGTCTCAAAGTCTGTAGTATTGAGTTAAAAGCTTTATAATGTTTAGTTAACAAGTTCTTGAGTTTTATTAGCTCACATCAAAGCACAGCACCTGCAATCATGAATCTAAATATAAAAGGTCAGAAACATGTGGACAACTTAGTACAATCCAAATAAGCAAATTGTCATACTGTAAGGCGCACCAATGCATTCATGGCTGCAGCTTTCTTGTGGTTCTGATATGCAGGTCGCTTCTGTCGAGAGACACACGCAAGCCTAGCTAGTTCTTTGCCTTCAACATCAAGTGCACCTGCACTCTCTAAGTATACGTGTAATAAGATATTTGGGATATTTTAGAATATAGTATCTGTTTTAATAATTTATATTTATTCAACCAAAATGATTACAATCTGAGTATGTGAATTAGAATGAAACAAAAATAGAATATCTTTTTATTTTAGTTAACAAGAACAGCTACATGAGAGGGTTTGATCTCAATTTAAATGAGATAGAGGAAGGACTAGAGGGGTCTAAGGAGTTGTTAACAGAAAAGATGTATAATAACAACAAATATACAAATGAAAACATATAAACAACTGCAGATCCAATAATAAAAAGAAGAGCAATGAAAAAAAATGAATAAAGGGAAAAGTTGAGCTGAAGGCACAGACACTACCAATACCTGAAAACTGAAGTAGCAAAAAGTCTAGTCATATCTCGGAAGCATCCTGTCATTATATACTGCAAACTTACCATCATAATTAATCATGCAAGTGCAAAGGACCCACTCAAATCAGAAGAGACAAAAGAATCAAGACAGTTTAGAAGCACTCACCCAGTTAATAAGCAGATACAACTCACCACTGACCATATGACAAACTCAGGGGCCACCAAGCTGAAAGGTTAATGATGCAATAAGTAGAATATAATGTTGAAAACCCCAACAAATGCCCCATTATCAAAACAGATATGAAAACTTATTATCAACACAGATATGAAAACTTACACATTTACCCTATCTCAACATTGAACAATCATTGCATCTCTGTCCACTCAATTTAGCTTTCTTCCTGCCATAATTATGCTCCCTTTCTCTATCTTATCTCAGAGAAGGAGTACTCTGCCGAAATGAAAGTACAGGCTACCTCCTATTGCCATCAGCAGCACTAGTTGGAGCTCGGCTACAACTATGACCAGAAACACCAACATTGCAACACTCTTCGAAGATTGCGATATTCTTTGATGCAAGCTAATAAAACACAAAAACCTGTCAGCTTAATACGACAAACTTTAACACACTTCTATTGAGAAATTAATCATTTCTAACTGATAAATGCAGCAGTTAAAGAATAAGTTAGCTTTTTTCAGATTATATGCAGTATGCTCTCAAAATGGAGAAAAAATGCAGCAGTTAAAGAATAAGTTAGCTTTTTTCAGATTATATGCAGTATGCTCTCAAAATGGAGAAAATCCTTGTGATTTATGTACTTAGATAGACAGGAGAGGTCTAGATGAGATACAATAACCGGTGTAGTAGGTGTGGTTAAGCCTCCAGCCCATCTATGGATATATCCTCCTAAGACTCAAAAGTGCATGAATATAGCATGTTCTGGTCCCTCTTGAAGCTGCAGCTGTTAAGATAGCTAGAGGAAACCAAAGGCAAAGAAGGAAGACAGAGAAAAAAAAGGACCCAAAGGGTTTTGAAAGAAGAAAAAGAATGTGGAGGTTAATGACAAGAGCTACACAAAGAAAGATAGATAGGTCATAGCTGCAGAAGGGTAAGTGGATTGTTTGCTTGGTTCAGGTTGCTTGATTTGCCTCTGAAGAAAATAATATGTTCAGAGTCAGGTCATGCTCTCTTCTTCAGTGGTTGTTTTCCTTAGCCGCTTAAGATGCAACTTCTCTTGCTCCATGACAATGGTATATCCTGCAGACAAGATAATCATCCAACTGCATTCAACATGTACAGAGGTTAAAAGATTTGCAAGAAAGCTAAAGATACACAGACACAGAAGGTAGCTCCTAACAACATTGTTCCTCCAGAATCTTATTCTGTGGGCACAGAAGCTGCAGATGAGGGTGCATCGGTTCTCCTGTTTGATATCATCTCGCAGAGTTTACAAGAAGGTGGGTGCCATCTACAAGTATAACATTGACACAAGGGCCACGAAGGTGAGGTCCTTGTACTACAGATTCTTCTATGCGCAGTTGCTTTCGATGGCGATCTAAATTGATAGCATCAAAACTTACCTATAGAGAAAGTATGAAGAGTTCAAGGTGAGGATCCGATCAATGCATTGGTCATGCATTCTTTATACACATGGGTGCAAATTAGTTGTGTATATATATATATATATATATATATAGACACACACACACACACACACACACACACACTTAAGTTATACTACATAGTCTATATGTTTCTCACCTATTATCTTTAGGATCTACAACTGATGCAGGTTTTAATCTCTACAGTGCTCATCAAAGCACCTTCATGTTGAATCAAGAAGTTGATCACCACATGTTTCCTGATGGACCCTCAGTTCGAAAGAAGCTTTTTGGTGTCCAGTTACCACAAAGATTTGATGAAATTCATCAAAAAGATCAATAAACAAGATAGTCTTCTTTGATGCAAGCTAATTAAACACAAGAGCCTGTTAATAAACATACAATAAGAATATAATTATATTGTCTCCTGTTTCCATTTCATGCTAGGATCAAGCAATCATTTTGATAGCAGGGAACAAAACTTAATAGTAACATGCATGAAGGGTTCAGAAATATGCCAAACAGTCTTCGGTAGGTTGGGAGACTGCAGATGCACTTGTTTTTGGAGGCAAAAAACTACCGCAGCTGGTGTATGTTTTTTTGAGAAAAACTAGGCTACCAACACCACAAGGAAGCCCTGTCACAAATTGCATTATGAAATTTACTTATTTAGGTTATACTAAGCAGTAACTAGTCAATATGTTTCTAACCTCTTTATCATTTAAATTACAAGTGCAGCTTGAGTCTCTGCACTGCTCACCAGTGCACTCTTAATGGTGTATCCAGATTGGGATAAAATCCGTTTCTTGATGAGCAGAAAATCCATGGTAAAGAAGACTGAAAGGCACCAGTACTCAAGTGCTTGCCAAAGAGTCTCAATGAAATCAGCTGTGGGTACAACTAATAAGGAGAAGAACAAATAAGGGAACTCAAATTTGAGGTGGTACTGCCACTAATGTAGTAGGGCATTGTTTTGCAAATAAAAAAGACAAAATACTTGTTGAGAATTTAATGCGGATTAAGGTGAAAGATATATTGCTGCTTTACAAAGGTAAGCACAGCAGGGAATAAAATGCAAGATAAGATAAAGCAATTTTAGAAATTATTACCTGAAATTTTTAATTTCAGAAGAAAAAATTGAATTGCACCAGCCAGGAATCAAACCCGGGTCTGTACCGTGGCAGGGTACTATTCTACCACTAGACCACTGGTGCCGATGATAGCAAAACTTTTCATGCATAATAGATGTATGTACTCTCATATGACAGTTTGAGAAATCTATATCTATTATTAAAAACTCTTACCTTTGAAAACGCCACTTGGCAAAAATGTCACATACCCTTGAAAACGCCACCTGGCAAAAATGACACATCTATATCTATTATTAAAAACTCTTACCTTTGAAAACGGCACTTGGCAAAAATGTCACATACCCTTGAAAACGCCACCTGGCAAAAATGACACACGGCAAAAATAACACATACCCATATTAGCCTTTCACCCACATCCCCTTTCACCCACCTCCTCACCCTTTTTTATTTCTTCACCTCTAATTATTTCACACATCACACTGGAAAATTTTCCCCTTTCGGCTACATAACATAAAATTATTCTAATGTGATTTTAAGTTTTGGATAAATTTGTTAGCTCTATCTGAGCGTGTCCTGTAATATATGTGTATGTAGTGATGCATGCTTGTGTGCATGTTTGACAAACTAACTTTTTATTTTTTTAATTCATGTATCTTATTGAATACAAGTGTAATTTTCTTTTCTTTCTATATAATTATATTTTTCTGTTTCAGATCTGTTTGTTTCTTTATTTATCTTTACTATTGGTAAGTGATGAACTCAATATAATCTTACTAGAATGTATTACTCTTATATTATGTTTTGTTATTTTTCTCCAATGGCAATGCATTTTCTATATCTATTACTAAAAACTCTTACCCTTGAAAACACCACTTGTCTATATCTATTACTAAAAACTCTTACCCTTGAAAACGCCACTTGGCAAAAAATGACACATACCCTTGAAAACGCCACCTGGCAAAAATGACACATGGCAAAAATGACAAATACCCATATTAGCCTTTCACCCGCCTCCTCACCCCTTTTTATTTCTTCACCTCTAATTATTTCACTCACCTCACGCTGGAAAATTTTCCCTTTTCGGCTAATTCATAGCATGAAATTATTCTAATGTGATTTTAAGTTTTGGATAAATTTGTTAGCTCTATCTGAGCGTATCCTGTAATATATGTGTATGTAGTGGTGCATGCTTGTGTGCATGTTTGACAAACTAAAATGTTATTTTTTTAATTCATGTATCTTATTGAATACAAGTGTATTTTTCTTTTCTTTCTATATAATTATATTTTTTCTGTTTCAGATCAGTTTGTTTCTTTGTTTATCTTTACTATTGGTAAGTGATGAACTCAATATAATCTTACTAGAATGTATTTCTCTTATATTATGTTTTGTTATTTTTCTCCAATGGCAATGCATTTCACTTCAATATTTTTGTTCTTTCTTATGTTTATATAGAGAATGTGAAAGTTATATTTTATTTAACTAATTGAGTACTTCTTATGCCGTATTCTTATGGTTTGATGATGTTCTTAAATTGCAATCATATACAATTTTTTTACACAGACTTTATTTGATTTAGGTATTACATTGTCTCTTATTTTCGTCAGGTGGATGTCATACACCCCTTATATGATAGGTATTATATTTTCTTTGTTTTTTGACATTACACTTTTATTTTACCAATTTATTTGGAAAGTTATAACGGTTTAAATATTGATATGACTCGCAAAAAATGTTCAAATATTATTTTCCCATATTTACATTTTTTCCAAACCTTTCATTTTTTTCAATTTTTTTAAGTTTACCCATTTTTGGTACTTTTTTAACATTTTACTTTAATTTTGAATTTTTTTCTACCTTCTAAATAATAAAATAACTCTCACCATATTTCTGAATACCGTTTTTACACAATTACATTTTTCAAACTATATATGATCTTAAACTGATTCAAGTTTTCCAGACTTTCTAATTTTTCAAAGTATATATGCAACTTAGGTTGTATCATTTCTGACTACTTATATATTATTACTATTTTACTTTGCATTCTTTTGCTACATTAATTTTTATATATTAAACAAATCCGTGCATCGCACGGGCCTGAAACTAGTGATCTCTTATAGATAAAAACAATAGGGTTACCTTTTCAAACTAAGACAATGGAAATACTGAAGGTATAAAAGATGTAAAGTAAACTGGAAATTTTACCTCTCAAAGTTATCAAGAGATCTAACAAAAAATTTCCAGGTAAGAACTATCCAAGAAGAAACTTCAAGGCGTGCACTGTGACGAAGTCTGAAAAGGCAAGTATTATGTGAAGATAAACTAATTTAATTGAGACGTAAATAACTAGAGCTCACAATGTGACATGATAACACCGAAAACTACCTTAAATAAGGGAGACTGAAAACCCTAACGAATGGTATCTTCAAAGAGCACGGCATTGTTTTTACCCAAAAATGATGAAGATGCAAACTTACAGTTAGAAGATTAAACTAAAGACAAAACAAAAATTAAACCAAGAATCTAGACAGGTGGAAACATGAGAAAGAACAAAGGGCATTTGCGAGAATAAAAAAAACCTAAATTTTGTAAAAACCAATAACAGTTTGCTGATTTCTGGATTGAGGCTCAATGTTTACATGAAAAGTCACTCTCGAATCGTTTGGCTATTAATTACTTGATAAATTACTAGAACCACCTAGAGTTAAAGGCTCAGTTTCTCATGAAAACTCACTCTTGTATTCCTTGACTAGTAATTACTTGATGGCTTATCAGAGCCTCCTAAAGTTCAAGGCACCTAGATAAAATCAAAGGAAGATGATAATTATAACAATAATTGGCAAAATCTTTTATTATAATGAAAGCATCAACATGATCAGCAATAGAGCTGAAAGGACCATATATCAACACAAAGACTAATCAAAGATATAAAACCTAATATTTTCATATGAGTACCTGAAATCAGCTTAATTAAATCAATGTAACATTTAATCCAACTGCCGACACATAAATCTAGTAAAACTTTAGAGTCATTTCATAATAATAACAATAATAAAGAAAATGTGAATGGATATGATTCTTGCTGGAGGAAATATTAGGTTCGTCTCCAGAAAATTAGGGTTTATTCGAACTTTATGAAATTAAAAGAAAGCAGTTATTATTGAAAAAATAAGCAAAATCTTTTGAAATAACCCAAAGCATCAACCAGCTTGTATGAGAACATTAAATCAAAATAACATTAAATCCAATTGCCGATTTAATGTTATATATAAAGATAATCATATGAGAAGTAACATTACCATATGAGTTTCTTTGAAATTAGATTAACTAAGAATAATCAAACATATGAGAACTAACATTTCCATATATAAGAATAATCAAACATATGAGAACTAACATTACCATATATATAAGAATAATCAAACATATGAGAACTAACATTACCACATGAGTTTCTTTGAAATTAGATTAACTAAAACTAACATTAAATCTAATTGCCGTTTATAAAATTTACGAGAAAATTTAAAACCCAAATTTCTTTGAAATAAGGAATCATAAATAAGAATAATCAAACATATGAGAACTAACATTCCCGTATGAGTTCCTTTGAAATTAGATTAACTAAAACTAACATTAAACCTAATTTCCGATTTATGAAATTTACGAGAAATTTTAAAACCCTAAATTTTTATCCGAAACCCAAAAGCCTAATAAATTGTAGAAACGCGAACGGATACCTTTGAGGAGGTGATTCCTATTGGAGGAAAATTAGGGCTTCTGTTGGTTACGGCTTCTTCTAATTTGCTTCTCCTCTTCATCTCAGCGATCGAACTACAAAACCCTAGATAGAAAAACACCTTCTTTACGCTTAAAACAACTGGGGGAAGAAAAAAAAAAGAGGGAAGAAAGTGAGAAATCGAAGCAAAGACGAGTCGTATTTATAGGCAAAGAGGCAGAAACGCGTAATATACGCGTAATAATATGCGCGTAGGATATACGCGTAATAATATGCGCGTAGGATATACGCGTAATAATATGCGCGTAGGATATACGCGTAATAATATGCGCGTAGGATATACGCGTAATAATATGCGCGTAGGATATACGCGTAATAATATGCGCGTAGGATATACGCGTAATAATATGCGCGTAGGATATACGCGTAATAATATACGCGTAGGATATACGCGTAATAATATGCGCGTAGGATATACGCGTAATAATATGCGCGTAAGATATACAAGCGTAAAATATACGCTGAAAAAAATATTAATTTTCTCCTAATAAATATCCTCTTTATATTCCGTGGGGAAAATGAAAAAAAAAGGCTCTTTATAAGATGTCAGTGGTAAGAAAAGGCCCATGGACTTTGCCTGGGCCTTGCTTATTCAGGTTCATACTGCAGCGATCGTAGACGACGGCGAATTCGAGAGGAGAGGAAGCAGTCGCGGTTGATCGAACCCCATCGGTCTCGGTTCCCTCGCTACATCAAGAAGCGATCTCTCAAGAGCAAAGCCCTAAGCGTCATCTTCAGCGAGAAATATCTCAAGTAAGCGTAATCATCGTCATCATTTTAAGGTTTTTGTTTTTTTGTTATGTTATAGTTTGAGAAATTTCTTATTAGGGTTTTGGCGTTTGATGTGGGCAGGGATTTTGTTTGAGGAAGAATCAGAGCAGGAAGGAAGCGGAGAGGCAGAATGAAGAAGAGGTTGAAGCGCATCAAAGGTGAGATCTTTTGTTCACTCTGTATAAAAATTATAACTTATAGTTTCAAAAAGAAAAAAACAAGAGAGAGAGATAGAGAGAGGATGGCGAGGGGTAAGTTGCCCCTGCTGGCATTCCGAGTGCTTAACGAGTGCCATCACCTAGGTCGGAA